GGTCCCTCTCCAGGCTTTTGACAGAGGTGCCTCTGTGACTAATGTGTGTGTGTGTGTGTGTGTGTGTGTGTGTGTGTGTGTGTGCGTGCGTTCACAGCTTTCACAATGGGACCTCACTCAGATCCTGCTTGGAAGGTGAGAGAATTGGGGGTATGCCTGTAATCTTTGTTTTCTTTTTTGTTTGTTTATAATGTTGAAATAGGAGCGGCAGGGCTGCGTCCCCGGCACCCGGCCGCCCGCATGGCTAGTTTATACCCAGAAATAATTACACGGAAACTGTATTCTTTCAAACACTGCCTGGCCTGGCTAGGTCCAGTTTCTTATTGGCTAGCTCTTACATATTGTTCTAACCCATTTCTAATATTCTGTGTAGCCCATGAGCTGGCTTACCAGAGAGGATCTTAACCTGCATCTGTCTGGAGTGGGAGCATCATGGCGACTCACTCACTCAGCTTCTTTTTTTCAGCATTCTCCTCTGTCTACTCTGACTACCTAATTTTCTGTCCTATGAGGGCCGAGGCAGTTTCTTTATTATTAACCAATGAAATCAACAGATAAGATACAAGACCCACCTCCATCAGGAACCCAAGGCAGTATCACAAAAGCCCCCACAGGTGGGTGACATGGGGCACCCAGGGCGCCCCTTTGGCTTTCTCTCATTGCATTGATAGTGTTGCATTGTTGCTGATTGACAACCATTGTTTCTGCGATCATAAGGGTGTGCTGTCAGGAGATTCAACTGTGCTGATCACCAAAAGCGAGTTTAGGTCCGCTTCCCACGGCCAGCTGGCTGAGTTTGGATGGGGAAATCTCAGCCGAACGGACAGGGTATAAATGCTACTGCTGCACAGACTGCAAAGGAGAGAGAGTGCTGGCTTCAGATCTGGTCTACAGACCTTCTCATGGCCTGTGGAGTCCCCCCACTCTCTCCAGCTTCCTGCTACTTGGTTTCGTCAATGGCTTGCCTCCTCCTGACCCTGCCACCGGTTTCTGTCCTGGCACACATACATGTGAGCACACGTGACAAGAAACTCAAGAACATGGTGAGGTTACACGCATAAGTGTGCAGGTAGGTACGCACAGCACGTGTCAGGAGACCATGTGCACACGAGAATACGCGGCTATGAGAACTCACTCCTGTGCTCCCTGCTCTTTCAAAGCCAGCACTGGGTCAGAAGTAGGATAGCCATGTCATGGAGCCATCATAGCTAGCCAAGCCCACTGAAGGAGCGTGTAAGCAACCCTGGAGTGAGAGGATCCCTTCGTCATCCAGAGGAGCAGGAGAGAAGGTCAGGGAGCCATGACCTGCACCCTCCATATGACTCTTGCACTGTTGCACGAGGGTCAGGGTGCCCTGGCATGTTAACCATCCTTGGGACTTCTGTCTAGCCTTCTTCCCAATGACTCAAAGCATGTGTGCCTGAAAGAATGTGGATTCCACATGTCAGTGTGTCTGCCAGGCATTTAAATCCTAAAACTTGTGAAATCAGAAATTCAAAGGGGACGAGGCTGGCTAATTCCGCGTGTTCCCCTTGTGCGGTGTTTGTGAATATTTTGCAGTCATAACGCATATTTTAAGTGCTGCTTTTCTAAACGTTTATCCCATAAGACCCAGGTCTGGGTCAAGAGGTATTCCAGACAGGAACTGCCGGGAAGTGTGTGTACCAGATGTGAGAGACGGTGGAATCCGTCCATGAAGACAAGGGCCACAGGTTCCAGAAATACTGCCTCTGATGGACAGGCCAGGAAGAAGTCCTCCTTCTCCTCCGCTGTTTCGCAGGGACACCATCGACACTCCCCATCATCCCGTGCATGCCAGTAACCGTTCACCCCTGTCCAGGCACATCTGTGCCCCTTCCACACCCCTTCTCCCTAGCCCTCTTCTTCCCTCTTAGCATCGGTGAGCATAGGAAGGAGGAAGGGGTCTCAGCAAAAACTGTGGCAAGGGCTGCGTGTTAAATAACCAGAGACCCGCGTGTGGTTATTACAGTGGCTGAAGCTGAGCCAGTACTTCCCATCGGGACAGAAGGAGCTCAAAGGCATCTGTAGAAACTTCCATGGTGGTAGGGGGAGTCAGGACCCCAGACCCTGCATTTTTTTTCCTTTCCTAAAATAGTTTATAAGACTAAAGAAAAGAGTAATCTTAGCCAACTTTATACAGACATACTATGTTGATATATATGAGATCTATCTCTCTCTCAATCAATCAATCAATCAATCTATCTATCTATCTATCATCTATCTATCATCTATCTATCTATCTATCTATCTATCTATCTATCTATCTAATCTCTATATATCTATATAGATATCTATATTGATATCTATCTATATAGATAGATATCCCCTAGGTTCTAATTAATGCCTTTTAAAATAACTGATTCATTTACTTAAATGTAAACCCGGCCTTCCTCCTGTACCACTAGTGAACAGCTGAGTTCTACAAACACTTGAAAGTTCTCTGAAGCCCGTAGTCAATCATTAAAATCAGATCTTAAATGTTTGGGGGTTTGTTTACATTACATTTCTGGGGTACATTACAAGGGTAGCTATTGGCCCTGGGCTTTCCTGTTAGATGCAGAAAAGTCATCTGTTGAGATGATGATGCCCTAAAGGAAGGCAAGATGTTACCTTCCTTTCAAAATAGATTATGACAGGAAAATGGTCCACAAACCGGTATGTGCCATGCTTGTTCCTTTAAATATGTCACACTGTAAAAATAAGCTGGAATTGGGAGTCACGGACCATCAGAAGCCAAACTCCTCATGAGAGCACCGAACTGGAGCGGATCCTGTGGAGTCTGTTGTACTTTGGTGAGCTGGCCTTGTCTAATACCACTGATACTGAAAAGGAGAAGGAGGAGGACTGGATGTCCAGCTAGAAACTCCTTCACGTTAGCCCAGCACACAATTCCTTGAAAGACAGAGAGCTGCTCACTCCTGAGCAGAGTGGGGGCTGGGGTAGGGGCAGGGGTGGGGGCGGGGCCTCCACTTGACTTCATTGGAGCAATTGGCTAGCAGCTAGTGCACCTGTGTGTTTCTCCCCAGCAGGGACAACCAAGAAGATGTGACCAGTTTTTCAATAACTGAAGTTTCAGACAAAACTGATACACAGTAAACTGTACCCATAATGATAAATAGATGGGCAAAAGGGGGCCTGGTGTGGTTTCAGCCTATTCCCTGAAGTGTATTAGTGTTGAGAGACACCACTGCTCAAGGTCCCCAGAGCAGCTTCACGGCACAGAAGAAGTTGCAAGGTGGGTGCCTGGAGGCAGGGATGAAGAGAAACAGGGAGCACGTGGTTGGGGAGGGAACCTGAGGTGTAATAGCAGTAGCTGCACATTGTACAAGTATATTTAAAACCACTGAACTGCGGACTTAAGGATTAAATTTTATTTGTATTTTAATCATAATAAAAATGGAAAAAATTACAAAAACACTACAGCATTTAAGAGCCTCAACAAGACTATAAAAGAAACTAGATACCACATTAAACACACACACACACACACACACGCACACACACTCACACACACGGCCTCATTTGATTTGTAGGGAATGTTCAGAAGCGGGTCTGGGGACAGTGGATTTCAGGTTAGGGCTTACAGGGGATTGTTGCTAAGATACGGGACATGAGTTTCCCTTGTGGGAGTGAAAAAAGTCCCTGCCCTAGGTAGCAATCACACGTTCTGCCTTATGAGCTCTGCTCTATGGTGGACTGTCTGATGTTGGTATGCACGGATGGACTGAGACAGAATGCCGCTCTGTAGCCCACGGTGGCCTTGAATTTGGAGTGATATCTGTACCTCTGCCTCCCCAGGGCTAGGATGACAGGCATGAATTGTCATAATAGGCTTAAGGGTTATAACTAAGAACTTTATGTGATACATGTATTTCACTTTAACTTTCAGAATTAAAGTAATTTAAAAAGTAAAAATGCAAATATCTTTTCTGAATCTTACTCAGTAGCAAATTATTAAAGGCCCAGTTCCCATCTGTTAGCCCGAATGAAATCTCAGCTTTTTGAGTCCAAAGGCACTAATGACCTAATTAGCGGGTGTGGGAAACAGAAATGAAGTTGGCAAGTTCAGGCCCAGGCCATCAATTTTAGGGTTGTGTTGTCTTCAGTGTTATTTGCCCGCCTCTCATAAAAAGGTAATTATTAATTCTTCTGGTTATAAAGATCAGGGTACAAATGCTCTTACCAGAAGGCATTTTGAGAAATAATCCTTATGAAAAATGTCATAAAGTTGGGTGGATGGAAATGTAAGTTTCTAAGTTCTTTGCTACTCATTATTCAACCTAGCTCAAAACTTCTCAGAGAATAAATTCTGCATCTGAGGCTTGTCTCCTGAAGGATTGTGTTTTGTAGTTTCTCTTCTTACCTTCATCTCTTCCAGCTCTGGCAGCCTCCTGTCATCTGGCAAAGCACTTGCAGAGAACCATTCCTCAAACTGGGTCTTTTGAAAAATTAGTGCCCTAGTCAAAGCTGACTTGTCCCAATAAAAGTAAATCAAAGCCCGAGTTAATATAGCCTGTCTTCATTCTGCGTAGCATCAGGATAGATCACTGTGTTCTTCCGTGTCAGATGGGCTTAGCCAGTGTGAGAGTAGCCCCTGGGAAGATAGGTTACACCTTTAAAGAGAACAAAATCTAAAATCTAAAATGAAGTCTTTAAAGACAATTGTAGTAATTTAAGTTATATTAAAATGATAAGAATCCCATTTCAATCTTAAGCTTTGTAGTCGGTCATTATTCAGGAGTAGGGAACCTAACATTTTACTAAGAACTTATAATGTATGCTTTTTAACTTCTTGAGACAATGATCGAAACACCGGTGTGCAGAGGGCATGGCTGGTAAGCTTTGGCTTCAGTGTGGGCTGCGGTCAGTTATTCTGTGTGCTCACGCTGCACCCAAGAACTGCGCATGGCAGATGCCCTCTGTCTTAGCCTCCAAACTTCCGTCCCTCTGTTCTCAGTAGGGATAAACATTAATCTAAATGCTTTCTTCTTCTACTGCGAAGAAATGAACACAACTTCCAGGAGATAAGGAAAGAGATGCTGCTCAGAGTATTACAACAACACGGAGAGATTCTACTTACAGTGCTAACAACACACATTTCTGATTTGCAAGGTTCGGCTGCAAATCCGAAACCCTTTCAGTTCACTCGGACTTAAGAGATCACCAGATGTGGAAAAATGAGTGTACAGCCCAAACACAGGACAGAGCCTTCCATTTTCTGCAGCCTGCATAGTCCAAGGAAGCAAAATATTTTCCACTTTGTAAAATATTTAAGGCCGCTAGGGGAGAAGTGCTGGCTGCTCCGCTGGAACAGAGAGGCTCTGCTCACCACATGGAAAACGCATCCGGAGACCAGATTTTTCCAGAAGTAACTCAGCGGGCGCTGGGCTCTGGACGCTGGCTGCTAACCTCAGCAGTCTCGGGAGTGACTGGCCATCCTACAGCCTGCCAAGCCCCTGAAGCTGCATAGGGATGAGGGAAGAGGTCTTCTCTGTACAGAGACCCATTTACAGCATGGTATGTCTTTCCCGTTCCCCCTTAGGCTGCTATGTGAATGTTTTGGGTTGGTGAGAAAAGTAAGAAAAAAACACCTTTCTCTTCAGGCCGCATTTGTGTAGACCAGAATTTGGGGAAGGGTAGAGGTGATTGATCCACTTATTGGTTCAAGTTTTGATTAGAAATCTCGTTTCTGTGTTCATTAAATATCTGTGGACTTGTTGACACATACCTTATAGTGACCTGGGAGCATAGGTCCCCGAGGAATCCTGGGTTCTGATCTGAGCACCACAGGCTTCCAGCTGGGCCATGCCTATACAACCTCTCTGCTTCTTTCTGACTCTACACTTCCATCTTTCCCTGCTCTGCTAGGGAAAACTTCTGGACCAGGAACTCAACCATTTACAAGATACTTGTTGCTATGTATGGGTCTGACAGGTTGTGTTGAAGGCTCTTGTTTCTTACAGTCATTACTAATTCAAATGGGTTTGCTCTATTCTACAAGAGTCTTGGATTTTTTTTTTACATTCCTATCTACCATAGCTTTTATTCCAGCTAAGAAAAAAAGTTTGAACAAACCTGTCCTGTTTGGTATTTTAATCATAGAAAATGTTTGAGAGTTCATAAATTATCATATTTGACCTCAGAGTAAAATAAAATAGGTATCGGTAACATTTGGGATCCCCCCTCCCCCCATCTGAGATTCTATGCGGATAAGTGAATGAAAACTTACCTTTAATATTATATTGGTCAGCATCTTCGTTTCTATTCCTGGGATAAAACATCATGTCCAAAGGCAACCTGGGGAGAAAAGGGTTTATTTTTTCTTAAACCTCTCAGGTCACCGTCTATCACTGAGGGAAGTCATGGCAGGAACTCAAGAGAGGAATCTGGAGGTAGGAACTTAAGCAGAGACCATGGAGGGAAGCTGCTTACTGGGGTTGCTCAGCCTGATTTGTTCAGCTTGCTTTGTACGCCCTAGGGTCACCTTCCTAGGGATGGTACCTCCCATGGTGGGTCAAACCCTTCCCCATCCATCAGGAAAATGCCATACAGACTTTCCTATAGGCAATATGGATGGAGGCATCTTCCTCTTCACAGACAACTCTAACTTGTGTCAAGTTTATAAAACCCCAAACGAGACTGTCTGCATCTCTAGTGGGTACCAGTCACCAACTTACTGTGAGTACCAATATCACCATGTGTGAGTGGAGCTATATGGAAACCAGTCATCATTATGGTGTCTCCCAGTCAGCATTGGTAGGTGGGTATAAGACAGTGCCACAGTGTGGGCGGGAGTCAGTATTGCTCTGTGCATACAAGTCGGCAATGGTATGTAGGTGATAGCGCCACCCCGTGGGTGATAGCGCCCCCTATGGGTGATAGTATCACTCTGTGGGTGGTAGCGCCCCCTGTGGTGATAGTGCCACTCTGTTGGTAGGTGTCAGCATCGCTATGTGTGTACCAGTCATCAGAGATGTCAGTGCACCCAGAACAAGCGTGGTAGGTTATACATGCAATTCCAATTCTAGTTATGTAGAAAGATCACTTAATTTGAGAGAAAAACTCTTAAAATAATATCTGGCTAGCAAGTTTCAGTAACACCGCCACAGATACCACCCCACCAAATGCAAATGGGGCCAGAGAAATTCCCAACATTAGAAAGTCAAGCTAGTAAACACTCTAATAACCCAAACTTTCAGGTATAGACATGTATGGCCATGAAGAAAAGTGAAACCAGGCTCTGGCTTTGATGGTGAAAGGACCTGGTTTCTCTTGAGTCTGAACTGACCAGCCAGTAGATTGCAGCTCCACATGTCTAACTTCACACACCGACCCGTGACGGGAAGATATCCACCTTTGGGTCTTCTTTGCTATCTCTCGCTCTCTCTTGCTCTCCAGACTTTCAAGGTTTTATAAGCAAACTACGACACTGTGATCATGATGTTAATAATTCTGATTCTTGATGACCAAAATGCCCGACAGAGACAATATAAGTGAAGAATTACTTATTTTGTCTCACTTCTGATTACGTGCTTGAGAAGAGTCTCACAGAGGTGGGAGCTTGTGGCCAAGAACAGTAATTTGTACCATGGTGGACCAGGAAGCAGAGAGTGACGGGGACAATATATTCTTAAGGACCTATCCCCCGCTAGGACTTATTTACCAAATTTTCTAGAATTTCCCCAAGTAGTGCCCATACCTGGAAATCAAGTATTCAAAACATGAACTTGTGAGGGACATTTGGTATTCAAGCCATAGTTTCATCCCTGGTCCCCCAAAGTCTATAGCCTTCTCACAATGCAAAATGCATTTAGCCCAGTTTTGAGACTACATAATAATAACAGTTCCAACATTACCCACAAGTCCAAACTCAAAGTTTCTCTACTGAGGATTAAGATGAGCTATAAAATCAACAGGGAAGTTAATATTTCCAATATAAAAGGTCACAGAGGAAATACTTCCATTCCAAATGGGGACAGATGGAATGATGTCAGGGAAAGAGTCACCCAAAGCCAAGACCAAAACCAAAGAGGCCAAACAGTCATCCCAAAGCTTCATGTTTGCCATCTGAGGGATGTGTGGAACCAACTTGAGTTCCAACATATTTGGGCAGCCCTGTCACCATGCCTTTGCTGTGAGAGTCTCATGGTGTCTCTCCTCTTGGCTGGCTCCACTCAGTGCCTACAGCTCTCCGTGTTTCTGGTGTTTACAGCATGCTTGGATCTCTAGCACAGCTTAGGGTTCATCTACACAGCACACTCATTGCCTTTTCAGGGACTCCCCCTGGGGAATCTGAACCTGCCATCCACAGCCATCCTCACAGACCTTCCTTAGCGCCTGGGGGAAACTTGCATGCTGCTGAGGTTCTTGCATTCTGCATGCCTTTAAATGTGAGTGACACCAAGCTCTGCCCGCTCAAGCAGTGTTGGGTATGAATGGCGGCATTTGTGGCAATGGGCATCTTAGTACCACTTGGTTTTGAATCTGTGATGACTTCCTTAAACAACGCCATGTGAGCCTGGTATCATGGATTTCTTAAAGGGAAATTTGTCGAATGAGTTTGCCGTTTTACACAGTGGAGACTGTGATGTATGTGATGACGCCTCACCAATTCCTAAAACACCCTCAAGCTACCTCTTTATTTTCCTAGCGCAATGTGCTTCTCTCTTTTTAATTTACGTGTGTTTAAGATTACAATTGGGGAGATGCCAATCAGAGGACAGTTTGCTCTCTCTCCTGTTTGTCATCTCTCTTGTTTCATGTCCCCATGGATCAAAGTCAGGGTGCTATACCTAACCTCTCTCTCTTTTTAAATAATTTATTTTTTTTTTACTTCATGTACATTCATGTTTTGCCTTCATGTATGTCTGTGTGAAAGTGTTGAATCCTCTGAAACTGGAGTTATAGGCAGTTATGAGTTGCCATGTGGGTGCTGGGAATTGAACCCAGGTCCTCCGGAAGAGCAGTCAGTGCTCTTAACCTCTGAGCCATCTCTCCAGCCCCAGGCAGTAATGTCTTTAACAATTCTTTGTTCACAACTTTTAAAGTGCTCCTATTCTCTGTTTTGGTCAAACTGCTTGCTTTACACATTTTGCTTCTCTGCTTTTTGCTCCTGTTTCTCACGGCCAAACTTGCCTTAAAGCAACCAGTAATGACCATGTCACAGCCCGAATGCTAAACACTGTTGTGGAATTTCTTGTGTCAAATTGATTAACCCATGACTTTTGAATTAAGCATCACAAAATTTGCTGTCTGTGAGTAAAACGCAGACAAGTTCTTTGCCAGAATGTATGTGATCAGTCTCTAGGACAGTTCCCAACGCAGTCCTTGGTTCTGTCTGAAGCTTCAGAACCTTAGTCCTTTATTGTCCTTTGCATCCACACCCTGGTCCTCTGAGCACGTGTTAAGATATCCCCGTGAGCCTTCAGGACGTCTCTATCTCACGTCCCCACCCTCCTCCGATTTCCTTTTATAAACGGTCGGAAGGCATAACAATGAGACAGGTTTAGTCAGAAGTCTTTGCCACTGTTGTCAGTAACAGTTGCTTGTGCATTGCTATGGCCAAAATACATGGCAGAACCAAGTTAAGGGAAGAATTCTCTATTTAGGATTACATGTTCACAGGGTTCAGTCCATATGTGTTGGGCACCAGACTCCTGAGTGGGGCAGCAGTGGTATGTGGCAGCAGCAGTATGTGGCAGCAGGCAGCTGTTCACATCATGGCAGCCAGGAAACAGAGCACAGTGGAAAGACCCAGGGAGTTTTAGCTATCACCCACAGCAAGTTAACTATGCTAGCTAGATTCCACCTCTTAAAGTCTCTAGAACTTTTAAAAATAGTGCTTCTGGTTGAGGTAGGCACCTGAAACAAGAGTATGCTGGTGGGCATTTCAGGTTCAGATCATAATAGCACTGCTGAGGGGAGAATCACACAGCACAGATGTGACTGAAGTACTCACACCGACAGCCTACATGGGAATGGGGCCTCAGCCCCCATACTGACAGCTCACACAGGAACGGGGTCCTCAGCCCCCACACAGGCAGCGCACACAGGAATGGAGCCCTCACCCTAACAAACCATAGGGAATTGAAGGCCTTAGTCCAGTAGCTCCTTGGGTCTGTAGTCCTCACTCTGGTAGCCATAGAGTCCTGAGCAGCAACTCAGTCCCTAAGGAAAGGAAGCTCTCATCCCAATAATCTGGCTGACTGGAGCCTCCAGTCCAAAGTCACTTCAGTGAGTTTACAGTACTTCCGTTTTTGGTTCAGCTTCAAGAGACCACAACCAAAGCATGAAGCTTAACACTTGAGCCACAGGCCCAGCAGAGAACACTCATGTTTTCTTTGCCATATACCTTGTCAACCTCTCTGGTTTTAAGCTAAGTTAAATTACACAACAGTCAGTAGTCACGCACATAACTGAGTTTCTCTGAAGCTACAGTGACGGAGATTGTATTGGGGAGCAAGGTCACACTAATTGTAAGAAAGCCACTGAGGAGCCAGTGTATTCTGGGAGATGAAGTTCCAGGAGTTGAGTGCCTGGGAGACATCTGGTCCCAGGCCTGGGTCGTGTTCAGATTATGGGTCTCAGTTTTCTCCTGTCATGGTCAGAAGATGTTCTAACTACCACACTAGGGGGGAAAGGAGCTTCTAAGAGAAAACCCCATAGTCTTGCAGTGACAACATGACTTCTGCCAAAGTGATCTTTTGATGAATGTGTGTAGAGGAGCCTAGAAGGCACCATACCCCCGGTTTGATCCCCAGGACCACCTGAACTGGGTGTGGTGGCACTTGCCTATAATCCTAGCAGACGGATGGGGGTGGGGAGAGGCTGAAGGATCAATTTTTGAGGCCAGCCTGCTATGCATAAGACCATATCTAAAAATCAAACCATAAAATACAATAAAAAAAAAAACTACCACCACCAGTGCCAGAACACAAATGGGATAAATGCATAAAAAGGCAAAGTAGTATTATTTAAGGTCTATTATGAAAAGTTTAAATTAATGTAAAACAAGACTAAAATGGGTGAGTGCAGAGGGAGAAGGCAGGTGTTCTCCAATATGCGGGAATTATTTCCTGAAAGGAAAATGGAGGTAAATGATAAAATGATGGATTAGAGTAAAACAGATGTTGACCGTGAGAATGTGGTACACACCAGACTGAGTCTAGCATGTCGGCTGGTAACAGGGAGGGCACATGCAGATGGGTCTCTATAATCGGAAAGGCAACGTAGCAAGGCTTTGACAGACTGGTGGGAGACAGCGCGGATGGTGATTGTTGAGCCAACCCACAGTACCATAGAGAGGCCCTGGTGTGCGTGTATGTGTGTGCGTGTGCATGTGTGTGTGTATTCGCAGCCATGTGTATTTGAGGTCTTAGATCCAGAGGGAACCTCATGGATAAAATTATTAAGAGAACACTTACAGAAAATATATTCTACCAAAAATTATATAAAAAAGAAGAAAATATTTTCAACATTCTGACCAAAACAAACATAATTAAAAACAGATCTACTATAAAAATCCCTCTGTCCCCCTCAGTGCTCTAATAAATCCTGACACTAAAGGAGCAACATGGCTGAGAAGAACAGCCTGATACCAGAGCTGCCCCAACTGGCCCAGCCGCGGTGCTCAACTGCCATCATTGGCCAGCCGGGATGCCCAGTTGCCCCCAATGACCCAGCTGGGATGCTCAGCTACCCCCCCCCACTGCCCAGTTGTGGGGTACCCAGCTCCCTCACTGTCTAGCCGGGATGCTCAGCTTCCCCCACTGGTCAGCTGGGATGCCCAGGAATAGGGACTTGAGAAGGCTGCATGCGCCCTACTGACACAGAGGCAAAGTGTCAGTCTGTCCACCGCTGAATGAGAGTGTCTAGACATATGACATCAGTAAGGTTTTTGTGCTGGCAGATGGTCCTAGAGAACTGCCAGTCCCCGATACAGAATAAAAGGGCTCCCAACAGTAACCCCCAACAGTCAATGCAAAACCATCAAGCTGACCAGCAAAAAACATAATGCGTGTGAGGTTTTGTTTTTTTCCATATTGGAAAGTACCAGTTTTGCTTTATTTTTCATTTTTAAAATCACTATAAAACAAGACATATGAGTTATTAACATGGACTCTTACAATTCACTATCAGTAAAAAATATCTTGAAAAATTTGAGCTTCCAAAAATAAAGGCAATAAAAGCTACGACTGTAGCAATAGAGCATCCCACAAAAATGACACCGGACTTAGACGGCTTTGTGGGTCTAGACGAAAATGGTTTTTAAAGATAGAAAATAGTTATAAATTCATGCACATCTGGGGCCTCGGGAATGTGGGAGAACATAGTGACCAGCTTTATGAAGCAGGTGTGAGTCATTTAAATTCTGGTAAGAGCGAACTCTAGCAAAGACTACGGAACGACGCGCTGAAGAGGGTGGCCATGCATTGCCACACCACGGGTAAGAGCATTCAGCATCAGCAAGTCCAGGACAACAGCTTACCATAGCTGCGGTCACCTTGACAGTGGCTGAGCAAGTGTTAGCAAATAATACGATCTTAGCGCGTCAGAGCGGAGACAGATTTCCATCTTGGCAGGGAACGTTCCTCTGACTCCAGTCCAGGGTTGCTCCTGAGAATCTGGAGACACACACTGAGCTAAAGCAAGGCCACTTGAGCCCATGGCTGAGGAGAATAAGGAAACCAAGGCAGCCAGCAGTTTAAAAAGACACTTCTTGGGGAATGGCTACTTACTCAGATACAGGTGGAACCTTTGCATGAGACCAGGAAGACTTTCACATACTTGTAACAGCACAACACACACCTACAGTCATTTCTCATACTCCACACCCCTACGATAACTGCAGAGGAAAGATAAAGTCTCTTATACACATACTGTCATGCATGCAGCAGTGAGAAGTCTTGGATGATGGAAACAGCCCTGTGCTGCCAGGATGTCCTGCTCTCCAGGGGAACCACAGCTTTCTCATGTGCTTCAAGTGAAGGTCCAGGTGGCTTCCTATGAATGGAAGGTGATCTGTGGGGCAATAAAACTCGCAGTGAAAACCAACATGAAGTAGAAGAACGGGGGCCTGTCAAGTCACCAGACACAACAAGGGACCTACTTAAACAGCCACACAGGGAGGATGCAGGAATTGGGCTTGTCAAGTCACCAGACACAACAAGGGACCTACTTAAACAGTCACACAGGGAGGATACAGGAATTGGGGCCTGTCAAGTCACCAGACACAAGGGACCCACTTAAACAGCACACAGGGAGGATGCAGGAATGGAAAAGAAGTCTAGAAACACTCTGAGGAGCTGACAGGAACTGACTGGGGTATCTGGATGATTCCATGTCAATGGAGGGGAAGCAAGGTTGATCATGCCGCCAGTGAGATGGGTTATTCTCCACCATCAGCTGGAAAATCCTTCCTGGTTATATGTGAGTGTTTGTCTGCCCTCCTGGCAGTGGTATAGTTTTAACCTTTACATTAGGTTTCAGAATGTGTGAGAAATGAATGCTAACTGCTGTCCTGATTTGTCCTTGTGGTTATAACAAGTTCTTTCATGTACAGTGGCTTACACCAGAGACATCTTTGATCTAACAGTGCTAGATGCCTGGAACCCTGGTCCTTTAGAACTAACCCAGGCTGAGTGGTGCTGCCATCTCCTTTCCTTCAGCTCTTCCATGAGGTATAGAACAAGAGGTATTGATGCTTCCCGTTGGCTATAAGAGCCAGCCCAGCACTGATGACCAATACTGGATTCCAGCTGCACAGCTAGCAAGGTGGCCAGGTCTTCCCTGTGCTTGTCAGTCTCTGTCCTTCTCAGCTCATGTGACCTCCAGGATCTGCCTGCCTCTTCCAAGGCACTCACCTATCTCACTAAACTGATCAGCACCTGCCTTAGTTAGGGTTTCTATTGCTGTGAAGAGACACCATGACCATGGCAACTCTTATAAGGGAAACCATTTAATTGGGGTGGTTTACATTTTCAGAGGTTTATAGTCCATCATCATCATGGCTACACACGGTGGCGAGCAGGCAGAAATGGTGCTGGAGAAGGAGCTGAGATTTTAATATCTTGATCTGCAGGCAACAGGAAGTGAACTGTTTCTCTGGGTGCAGTTTGAGCATAGGAGGCCTCAAAGCCCACCCCTGTAGTGACACACTTCCTTCAACAAAGCCACACCTACTCCACAAAGCTGCCACACCTGTGGGAGCTATTTTCTTTTAGACCAACACTTTCACTCCCTGGCCCTCATAAGCTTATAGCTATTTCACAAGCAAAACTGCATTCAGTCCAACTTCAAAAGTCCCCATAGTTTATAACAGTCTTAAACTTATTTAAAGGTCTAAAATTCAAAGTATCTTCTGAGATTCAGTCTCTTAACTGTAATCCTCTGTAAAATAAAAATAAAAAAGATCAGACTTCCAACATATAATGGCACAGGATATACCGTTCCAAAATGTGGGAAAGAGGGTGTAAGCAAGAAAACATTGGACCAAAGCAAGACCGAAGAACAACTGGGAAAACTCCAGACTCTGCATCTCCACGTGTGATGTCAAAGAGCTCTTCAGATCTCCAACTCCTTTCAGCTTTGTCGATTGCAGCAGGATGCTCTTGATCTGTTCCACTTCCTGTTAGCAGCTGTCCTCAGCAGGCCTTCCATGGCTCTAGCATTTCCAACATCTTGGGATCTCGAAGGCTATCCAAGGCTCCACCTTCACGGCTTCATGCAATGGCATCTCTGGGCCACCATTCAGGGACACTCCTGACACAAGCCTGGCTTCAGCAGCTGTCCTCAGTTGTAGAGGAATATTCCATGTTTCTTTTGATCTATCCTTGGTTCTAAAGCCAGAACCATGCAGTTGGAGCTGCCAAGTTCTGCTGTTTACTAGGGCTGGAACAGGGTCCCCTCGTTCAATGACATCTTCTGTCCAGCTTGGCTGTCCTGTGAACTGTTAAATATAATTAGTCTTAATCAATAAAAATACGGAATTACATATTAAGGTAAAGTTGAAAGATTAGAGAAACAGAGCAGCCACCACGAAACCTCAGACCAAATGGTGGGTGATCCTGTCTCTACGAATTCTGAGACTGAATGCGGGAGATTCTGTCTAGAAATCCTCAGACTGAATGGATTCAAATCCTGTTTCCGCTCACCTTACATCCCTGTCTCCACCTTCCTAGTGCTGGGATTAAAGGTGTGTACTTCCCAAAGGCTCGAGCCTCCCAGGTGCTGGGATTAAAGATCTGGCCTCTATTGTTAACTAGGGGTTAACACTGCCCTCTGACCCCCATGCAAGATTTATTTGTCATAGCACAAACAAAATATCACAGCAGCTCTGAAGCTACTTCTGTAGACCAGGATGTCCTTGAACTCAGAGATCTTTCAATTACATCTTTACCAGTTTTTTGGTTTTGATGGTTTCCTTCACTACCTAAGCTTGGCTGTTCTGGAATTTGCTCTGCAGATCAGCTGGCCTCAAACTCAGAAAGCTGTGTACCTCTGTCTCTGGAGTGCTGGGAGGAAAGGCTTGCACCACCACACCCAGCTTAAAACTTAATTCCTTTTCCCAACTTGGAAACTTAGCTGCATGGGATCTTTTTTCTGAAGCTACTATTCCCTTTATTCCATTTCTCAATCTGTTTAAGTAGAAAACTCAACCCTCCAGATCAGAAAACACCTCTCCCTCCAGGTACCGAAAAAAAGTGATTGAAAAGCATCCAAGACCCAAGGTTGGTGCATCTGCAGAGAAGGATGGGATGAAGGCAAACGAGAAGACCATGAAGAGCTCCCAGGAGACAGAGCTGCGGAACACAGATGACGGAGTCAAGAAGTCTACATCTGGGGCAAAGTCAGTGGGAAAAGAGTGAGCTTAGGGTCTGGAGGACAGAGGGAGATTCCCAGCCTCGTGCAGCGGAGAAGACAAGTGAGGCTGGTGCAGAAATCTTGAAGACTCAGAAAGATAAAGGGGTCTCTGGAGATTTAGATGCCAGGTCTTTGAGATCCAGAAAAACTGGAGCCACTTTGGACTGTGAACCTAACCCAAAAGTAACTCGGGGTGCCAAGAAAGATGCAAAAGTTCCAAAAAAGGATGAAGACATTGTATGCACCACAAAATTAAGGACAAGAAGTCACAAGAATAGCTAAAAGTATGTAGCAAAGACATTTAAGAAGGAAAAATAAATTTAGCCTAATGATGAATTCCAGGGTGGTTTTCATCTTCAATGTAAAGACAAACTGTAATACAATATACTGCCTGTGTTTAAGGAAGGAAGCTTTGAGCTTTCTCGGTTATACTCTCTTCAAACTCCAGTGGTGATCATGAAGGGTGTCACCAGGATCTCAGAGCATTAGCAATGTAAAAGTTTGGAGGTGGGCATGCAGAAGTGTGGCCCTCTGTCCTGCACAATAAAGCTATAAAGTTGACTGCCAAAAAAAAATAAATAAAATAAAAATACAGGACTTCATTCCATTCTACTTCCTAGTCCTTCTTTCCTCAAAATGTACATTCATTTTTTTTTGTTTCCTCAGGTTGCTCCTTTTCAGTCATAAATCATCATTAGAGTTAACAATAATAACCACAGGACAGAATCTGTACTAGTCTGTTTTGAGATTTCCTTCTTCCAGTGGAATTAATCCAAATCTCTTCACTTTAGCCTCTGGTAGACCCGTTGGACAAGGGCAAAAAGCAGCAACATTCTTCACCAAAATATCATAAGAATGATCTCTAGACAACATACTAAAATTTTTCTCTGAAACCTCTTGAGCCAGGCCCCCACAGGTCAAATCACCCCCACCATTGTCTTCCATGCTTCTACTAGTATGTCCCATGAAGCAGTCTTTAAAGTATTCCCCTGACCTAATCCAAACTCCCAAAGTCCAGATTCCTCTAGGCTTATCACAGGAATACCCCAGTCCCTGGTACCAATTTCTGTCTTAGGTAGGGTTTCTATTGCTTTGAAACTATTTGTTTCTATTCCCCTGCTGCTAAGGAGTTTATAGGCCAGTGGGGATGTGGAGATGTAGGTGTCAACGATACAGAGAAGGAAACCAAACTGCCAATGACCATGAGGAAAGTGGGGTTTCTCAGCATCTCTGATGGGGCCAGTTCCATGCCCTAGTTTGGGGATGGCCTTTGATGGCTACCTGTTATATTATGAAACCCACCACAGCCCCAGGTCAGCCTTCTAAGGAGGTTAGAATGTCAAAATGGAGAGGGCTGTACTGCGCCAGATTCTTCTAAGAGCTGTTAGCACCCCTGCAGATCTGGGCCATTTCATCCCTGGGAAATGGTCTTTTCCATAGCAGGCCTTCCTTTCTGACTTAACTTTATAGGGACCTGACATCTTCCTCTCTGCCTGTCCTGTGTTTCCGTGTGACCTCATACTTGTATCGGCCACACTGAGCTTCAGCGCTCCAGCTGTGGCATGAAATCTGCTATCCAGGGCTCCATCTTGGTTTCTGAGGCCATGTAAAAGTTCCTAGATGCTCTATTTCACAGGAGAGAAACCACTGGTTCTTCCACTTTGCTAAGTTTGAGATCTCAGATGTCAGCGAAAGCCATTGTAGGTTTGGGATCTAAACATAGCCACTGTCTTGGGTTACAAAGATGGCTGAACACCCAGATGGAGGTCATCTGTCCTTGTAGAACGCAGTTCTCTCTTCAGAGGAAAGAGGACATGAGCTTTTTTCTGAGCCAAATATCTGTAACTATGACTAGCAATATGGAAGTCTAAGCTAAATAAACCCTTTCCTGCCCAAGTTGAATTTTGGTCATGGTGTTTGGTCACAGCAATAGAAGCCCTAACAAATACACGTAGGCTGAGCAGAAGAGGCAGGGATGTCTGACTGAAGGACACCTACCAGAGAAACCCAGAGGGGCTGGAACCAAGGTTCATAGCTAACTGGTGACCCTGGTGGGAATGCAGTCCACAGCACAGACCAGATAATGACCATGCCGTCAGCCTAGTCTCCAGAGGGGGATGGGCTGGCAATGTGTGCAGGGCCACGGCTCAGAGACAGAGGCTTAGAGTTTCCTGGGGAAGAGGCACTGACTCTCATCCTTTACTGCAGTGCACCTCTCTTCTGTGTTAGTGTCGGGGACCCTACCTGGAACACGTTCCAAGGTAGTCAGAGGCTGACAGTCACCGACGACTTCTGGAGATGGCTTTGGCTCTCATTTTGAAAACCCCAGAGCCCTGCTGAGCTGTTCTCTGCTCTCCTCTGTGAAGGGGGTGGGTGCCGCTGGGGGGATGTTTGCTCTAGGTTTTCCTGGCCTCGTGTGTCAATATTGACGACTGAGACTTCTTAAATTCCATATTCTGAGGTGGAGTCAGGGTGACCCTCTCACTGCTCCCTGTCTTTCTCAAATGTGAAAAAAAATACAAAGAGAAAGCAGCAAGTCATTTCTTTCTTTGTGTTTCAGAGGATCCTGGGGTGGAAGAGAGAGAGACTATGTAAGGGAGCCCGGGTTCCCTTTGCCTTCATTGTTGTCCTCTGTTCCCCCCTCCCCTGTGGTCAGACCTGAGCCTCCTCATCAACAGTGAATTGCTGCCTCTTTAAGTGGGGATTTGAGGTCCAGGAGACATGGGATCTTGGGGCTACATCCTCTATAATGTAGAGGTTGAGGCTAGGGAGGTATTGGACATTGGGACTCTATCCCTTTTAATGTGGAAGTTTCAGATCAGGAAGGCATGGGACATTTGGATTGTATACACTGGTATCTGCATATTCCAGGAAGATCCAAGGCTATACAATGATCAGCAGATCCCCCAACCTACAGAACTAATTAGGAGCAGATTCTGGGACTGAAACCCAACTTGTCTGATGTCCAGTCCCAACGATCCATGGCTTTGACTTCAGAGAATGAATGATTGAAAGAGTGGTATTTGAGAACATTCTGTTCGGATGCAATTGGAAAACCATCCCTCCAGTGTGCCAAAGTCACTTCCAGATGTATTGAGAGCTGTATGCAAAGTTGTCCTTGGAAGAAAACTTGCAGAACCTGGGTTAAAGAAGAGTGACAGGCAGGAAGACTCTTCACCTCACCGCATGCGCCCACCAGGATGAGCAGCGCAGGTGAGAGAAAACAGCAGGGGAGGACTGGGACCAGCTCAAGCTGCACACATCCCCCTGACCTGTCAGCAGCACCAGCCACCCCTCGGCTCTGGTGAGGAATCCGGGAATGTCCTCAGATATCTAGTTCCTCTTTCCATCCCTTGCTTCCTGTCAGAGGCTATGTCTTTTTTAGCAGCCATCTGTTAGGTGTGAATGATCTCAGCCTTGCCAGGTCCGGATAATTTTCACCTGCTTATCTCTGCATGTATAGAGTATGGGATGCAGCCTGTTGTCCTGCCCTGGGTAGCAGTGTTCAGTGGGATTGAAGCACCCAGCCTGTGAAGGAGAAGCTGAGCAGACAACATGTACCCTACTTTCCAGCCAATTTCAGAACCCACAAGGACTGCATCTTCTAACATCAGGAATGTGATCTTGGTTTTAATTATGACTAGGTAATCAGGATGGAGCGAGCACCCAAGAGATGTCTTAGAGTGGAAGACAAAACCATACAGAGAAGGAAGCAGAATAGAAGGTCCAAAGGTATGCCGGTAGCAGAAGAACCACTGCTCTCCCTGGAGATTTAAGATCTCGCATTCATGAACCAAGAACAGGGCACTAGAGAAAAGAAGGAGTCGCAGGAAAAGGCTGCTCAGAGATGACCTGGAAGCCCTTGAAGAGAGTCACTGTGGTCCCAGTGTTCAGGGCCCAGTTCCAAACGTGCAGAGCCGTGGAGGCACCTGAGGCTCAGCCTACCATGTGTGCATGCTGTAGGCACACACACACACACACACGCACAGAGTGTAAAGACATATGCACATACTCTGTAAGTCTATAGGGAGAATATCACTACAGTCAACTAAGAAAGGGGGGCATACAGTAAGACGCTCTTTATTC